AAAACACCACTGAACACAATATGTTACCTGTAATTAAATAAAAGGCAGTTCTGGGAATAGCTTATAGTTATCAAAAGAAACATAACACAGCATAATAAATATATTAACAATCTGTCTGCTGATTTCTTATATATTGATTGTATTCATTAGATTTGAGTTTTTGTTAATTAACATATTTTCCATTTAATTTTGAGTACACCAATTAAATTTTTACATACATTTTTAGTTAATAAAATGAAGAATGGTAATAATTGTTGATATTTTTGTGATGGTTCTAATATGAAAGGCTTCTAGGAGGAGCAGTGGAAACAGCTTGTTGGAAAGGGTTAGAACTGTGATGGTGACTGCAGTTTGAGCACAGCCTTTCTGCTTCCTCTTGGCCCAACCAATGAAGCCTGGGGATTTAAGCAGATTTAGACTCTGGCCCCAACAAAGACAACCCATAAAACATCTGTGAACTTGACAGCAGATGATTGTGATACTTCTCTGAGGTCTGGCAGGGTCTGAGCTTCATTAAATCCAGAAGCGCCTGGTCTCCTGCATCAGGCCTCCTTCCAGCCTTAGCCTGCTGTCCCAGGGAAGGCAACTGCAGACTGTTTCAACCTAGTGTGTATGTGTGCACACTGAGGGGAGAACTGTGACACATGGCACAGTAAATCTAAGAGAATACTCCAAGCAGGAGTCCCCCATAACAACATGCACAAAGATCGAGTTAGGTTCGGAATAGTAGTGCAGAAACACAAGGGTGATATTATGGTTACATCTAATGAAGGAAGCAGTACAGTTATTGCGGATAAGAGAGACTTAGTAGCAAAACTGGACTTTTTAAGGAATAAACTGCAGGTAGTGTACCAAGCAAAACATTTGCAGTAGGACAATTTTTTTCTGAGATTTATTAAAATTTGCACTGTCTATGTAGATTTGTGCACCAGAAGAAATTCCTTTTCTTATTGATCTGTTTTTAATAAAATTCCAACTCTTTGGTCTGGAGTCAATCTTGGTCATAGTGTTGAATTGTAATCCAAAAGCCATCCACTCCAGCATACAATTCCACTGCTAACTCTACTATTTTTTCTGTAATGTATCCCAGCTGTTAGATAATGTAGAGATTCAGATCTGCTCATTGTGCAGTGATTTAGCTGTGTGGCGAAAGTAGGCACAGGTCTCATCATTTCAGTGATATTTTCAGAAACTAAATGGGCTGAACAAGACAAAGCATGTGGTACTATTGCTGGCAAGAAATCATATTTCAGCCCACGTGGATGTGGCCAATCCAGTACATCTTCACTTTATCCTCTCATATTAAGTCCACAGATAATAACTGCCTCTGCTGACACATTCTGGGTGGATCTGAACGCGTAGCAGACCTGCCTCCCCCCCTGCTTTGAGATTCTTCTATAATTCATCAAGCTGTAGAGGAAATCATTCATATTCATAAATTTACTTAAAAAGAGTTATGGTCCTGCTGATATAAATGACTATATGGATCACATCATATCAGCCATTCTGGACTCATTAGCAGTTGGACAGCAAGCCAAGTGCTGTTGGCTGCATCGCACATGTTACAGCTGTCTCTGACTATGCTGAACAACAATAATAATAATAGCATCAAACACAGAAATAATAACAGTATGTGCACATGTGACAACTGCCTATTAAAGCGTAGAGAAAAAGAATATAGGACAGAGGAATTAATAACTGCTCAGAAAGGTGAGCATGCTGCTTGTTTCTTACTGAACAAAACTATTAAAGAACTAATAGGACTGGGGCAAAAATTAATTAACAAGAACAATGAAAATAACAAAACTACTGATACTACTACTACTGTTTCGACAAAAAGTAACAATAAGAATACAAAGAGCAATATGTTTACAACTCTTACATCATAAATAAGGAAAGATTTGAAAAAGGAAGTTTGAGAAAAATAAGTCATTCATATCAAACTTCCCAGGACAAATTTCATGTGCAGATTTCATAATTTAATATATTTTCAATAATATTTATTATCTAAATTTTTAACCTCGATACGGGGTTAAAAAAATACAGTGCTTAACAAAGTTATTAGACCAACACCCACTGTATAATAATAATAATAATAATAATAATAATAATAATAATAATTATTATTATTATTATTATTATTATTATTATTATTATTATTAGTTGCAGTAGTAGTAGTAATTAGTAGTAGCAGTAATAATACTAAAAAAAAATAGTTTTTGAATGATGAGCATATATCTGTCTGATATAGACAAATAGATATCCGATCGTGAGGTATTTTCTCATTTAAGGCCAATAATGTCCGAGCAGCGTTTTTCTATTGCGGCTCTTTTTCTTGTTTGTCACATAACTTATTTTACACACTTCCTATCTTCAAACACGGAAACAAGCAGCAAAAGAGGAGCAGGATGTGCTACGTGTGTGCCTGGGGGGGG